AAAGAAAAGAAAAAAGAAAAATATGAGACATCTTTCACAATCCCCTGTAATGACAGCTTTCAGGACTGTGAAATTGAGATAAATTTCATATTTACAGCTCTAAATAGGACCTGATAAAATCCAACATAAATTGAATGGTGTGCATTGAAATTGCAGCTTCATGTGCTGGAATACACCAAAATAACTCACAGTAACTCTCTGCCATTAAAAATACTTAGTGTGTTTTGGACATAAATTGTATCCTCACTTAGCAAATTGGGGGGTTATTTTAGAACAACTTCTAAATAGATGAATTACAAAGTACTTAAGTTTTGTTTTCTTTGTTTCTGAGATCTTTGTATTAGTATCAGAATGACTCAGATTTTATGCTCTCTACAGCTCAAGGCATGCGTGGGCAGCCTGATTTACATCAACCTGAGGCCTGATCAAGGGCACTAAATCAAGGACATGAGGCTATCGAAAGGGAGTCACAAACATCATTGTCAAGCACAATTTGACAAGGAGTACTTTAGAAGTGCTCTGTTCCTCCCTGCTCCTCTTAACAGAAAGTGATAACACAGGCAGGCTTTGAAGAACAAGCTGCATCTCCTTCTCCCCTTTCGATCAGGGCTGCAGATGGATCAAAAGATCCTAAGAGCTATTCCACAGCAAAACACGTGGACCTTGATGATGTCAGTATTAAGAGCTAAGCACCCTGGTTCCAGAAACAGTTCTGCATAACTGATCCAAGCCCATGTCACACACCATGGTACCTCTCAACTCTGCTCTGATGACTTGTAATTTTATGAACTTCAGATGCTCCTGAACACGACAGAACTTTGATTCTTGTCCTGAAAGTCCACCATTAAGAACACAGCCCCTTTCCTGCAGTGCTGCTTATAAGCTCTGATCCTTTCCCACAGCCTTTCTCATCCCCTCTGAGGGAGCCTCTCAGGCTATGCAACATCCAACTCTGCTTCTTGTTCTTGGTATCCACTCCAGTATTTACATTTGGATTTAAGCAAGCATGAAACACTACTTGGGACAGAAGTATTTCACATTCATTCCCATGCAATACACAACCCAGAAAGATGTAAGAATACATTTCTTACATCTTGCGTACATCGTACACAATGTGTAGAGTGATTCTGGACCAAGAACTCTTTTTTTTTTTTTTTTTTTTGTTTTTTTTTTTTTTTTTTTGCTTCTGTGTTCCATTTTTTTTCTTCTCCCTCTTTTGTCCACATCTCAAAGCTCCTTTTCCACCCAGTTTGGAATCTCTAATTTGAATGGCAGAGTTGGGAAAGAAATCTGCAGCTTATATAGATATTGTCATGTCCCCTAAGAAGTCCTCTACAGAAGCAGCCTTAAGAAACCCTACACATCCCTACATGTTTCCAACTTAGGTCCCAGATCATTTGGAATGCAGCATTCTATGGAAATGAAGGATAGCTTACGATAACTTTAGAAAGGAAATTCTGATCCACATAATGGTCAAGCTCACCTAGCTGTCAAAGACCACAGTAGTGCTTTTTCTTTTAAGGCAGAGATGAATTATGTCCCATTTTCAATAATTCTCATGAGAAAAAATGCTAGAGACTATTCTTCTAAAGCGAACAAAGAAAATGCTTACTAGGAACCTCTTGATGGTTTTCTTTGCTCCTTGTACACAAGTGTATCATCATCTGAGGCCATGCTATCCCCAGCAGAGTTAAAAATCTCCATAAAATTAATTGGAGAAAGAGCAGAAGACATTAATCAGCAGTAGTTAAGCATCAGCACCACAATTTCACAGCTACCCTGTGACTTCCTGCCAAATGATACTGACTGAGCATAAACGGTGCACAAGGTTAATTAGTGTTACGGTCTCTCTGTTCACTGCAGTTTATTTTACTGTCTCTCATTTATACACCCCATGTACTCTACCAGCCTACTGGGGCTTGTTTGAAAAACTCAAGGAAAGGAAGAGTGCAAATAGGCTTAGAAAATGCTTTAGCATAACAAAGATTCCTTGGAAAGACTAAAATTATGTCTGTTCTTTGATTAGGTTTCAGATTCTGGTACCCTTGTGCAGAACACTGACCACATCTATGAGGACATCACTAAACCTCTGAATTCCTTATCAAAAGCAGAAGTATGCTGATAAGGCATATTGCAGATTAGTCCTGTCTCTTTTTAAAAGTCCTGTATTCCTGCTCTGTCTGATATAGGTATTTTCAGGAAATGAGACTGAATGCACCTGTCAACAGAAGAAATATGATTATATGGGATTTTGAGAAATGAACAATGGCCAGAGACCTTTCTGCATCTCTCATATCTTGAAAAATGAAAGTCTTTTGAGATGTCCATCATTTTTCTTTTGTACAAGAAAGCAATTCTCTCCTGAACAAAGGCAGGTCTAGCAGCCATCACTTGGTGTGTGTATTTCTGTCACTCTACTCCTGCTCTCCTGCTCATCCTGGGAAATACATTGAAACTAAAGCAAAGATTTGCTTTGGTTTCAGTAGAAAGTTGAACTAGGAAGTTGCAGGTCTTAGCTTCCCTAAGGACCACTCAAAAAAGTCTGTAAAATTCTGAGGTCTGTAGTTGTGATAAAGTACTTGCACTGCTAAGTTGTTACTGCGTTGTAAATTTGGGTTTATTCAGACTGAAAAAGGTCAACTCAATTTTACTGAAAACTGCCTTGTGTGATTTTCACCATAACTATTTGAGAAAGACTGAACCTCAGGGAACAGGAGTCAAAATACTATAAATTCTGTCATCGCTAGACTTACCTTTGGTCACTTGACTACCGAGTCCACATACATCCTTCCTTTTTTCATTCTTTTTAGTTTTACTTCAAAACCACTGAGAACACAAAAGTAGTCCCCTCAGCGACACTGCTGAAAACTGTAGGTCTATTTTGCTTAGCTGTGTTTCTTGTCTGATTTTAATTAAAATATTTAA